AGTACTTGAGGAAATGGGATGCTGTGGCTTGTTTAGGACACTAGACGTGGAGTAAGAAGTTTCTGTAAAATTCTGTTTTTTATTAATACCGTTATGTTTCAGTGCTTCCTTGTTGTACAGTAATTTTTGTAATCCTAAACATATGATCTGTACGGGGCAAGGCTTAGATCTGGTGAAATGCAAATGGAGGAGTGAGGATGTCTTTGTGCGAGGGAAGGGAGTAACGGAGGAAGCTGCAGCTGAGAGTGAAGGGGAAGAGAACCTGGGTTTCCCCAAGTCTTGCGTGCTCTGCAGAACCCCTACAGCAGTTCTATTTATACCGAAGTGTTTCTACTGACGCTTTAAAACTGCCACCTTAACTGCTGTGAACAAAACCAATAAAAGCTCTCTCCCGTCTGCAGGCTGCACTTTGTTGAGGGTTTTGCCTGTTGGCTCTGAGAGTTGGAGAGTTTCTTACCTTTGGTTGCGTTGGTGCACCAACAGAACGGCATGGTGTTGAGTTGGCCTTGGCTGGGTTTTATGATCTGTGTTGCAGCAGTGTTGGGGTGTCTCAGTTCTTCAGGTATTCACTCTCTCTGGTATTCCCCTGAGTTAGGAAAATCCTCTTCTCCGTCTCTCACAGATGCCCAATGCCTAATTAACAAGTCTGGTCTCATTACTACTCCGTTGTAGTCAATGGAGACAGTTGATTCCCAAAGCTGAGGATGCTGAAGCCCAAAGGTCTCTGGTGCCGCCTCCTTACAGGAGAAGACCTTGCCTCTTACGTCATGAGAAACCAGTGGTGAAGTAGTGATTCAAGGACCCAAGTGTCCCAGCATCTGGTGTTTGCCACCAGACAGTCCTGCTTCTGTTTCCATAGTCCCTGATGTATGACAGTGACAGATGAAGCCTCCACTGATTGTGAAAAGAGGTGTTTTTCTGTTTTTTAATAGCCATAAAAATGGCTTTTGCACTAAAAGATTTTTTAGTAGAATGGTAGCATTAATTATAAACAGAATGGTATTTACTGGCTTGAGATCTTGTTTTTTGACAGATGCACAGATCAGCTACAGAACTTTTTTTTTTTAATACCGAGTGCTTTCCACTAACAGATGTGCTGCATCTGCTGTTTCCCTGTGATACGTTTAACAACAACAGGGGTTAAGGGTTTTCTTGTTACTTCTGTGATTGAAAGGTGTCAACCAGAGAAAGTGATATCCCAATCATTGTCCAGAAAAAAAAAAAACCCAAAAAACCAAAACAAACAAACAACAAAACAGAGAAAAAAAAAAAAAGCAATAAATCTCTGCTAGTCATTTGAAGATGAAAGATATTCAACCGTGGTCTGAAAGAAGCCTATGTACATCTCCCTGGAATAGCACAGTCAAAGTGTATCTGAACTGCATGTATAAGATGGGTTTCTACCCAGATTTAGGCTTCTGTCCTCTTTACAGTTCACACATGCAAATACACACGCACAGTTAGGGATCTGTGTGCATTTAGCACCCAAAACCTGGAGGCATGGTAGGGGGGGTAGGAACTCGGTGGTCTTTAAGGTCCCTTCCAACCCAAACCATTCTGTGATTCTATGACCTGAGACATATACAAGTGAGCACGGAAGTGGTGACTAGGTATCACTGCATGCTGGATGTCATTAGGGCTACGCTTAGCCAACGTCTCAAACACCTGTAGTCAGTGCAGGTAAAGCTTTACTAGACCTGTAAATTTAAGTTTGCCCTAGTGCTGCCTGTCCTTGGTGTCAATGGCAGGTTTGTCCCCATGTATGCAGATGAATAAGTCACAAGGCCATAGTGCTACATTATAATTTGCCACTGGATTTCAGATATCAGTTTAATACCTACCCTAGGAAAATACTTTTATACGAACCAACTTGTTCAGCACGGATGGCTGTGATATGTTAGCTGAAGGGGTTGTCTCCTATCGGGAGGATAAGATTTACTTTGATCTGTGTTATTTCATGCATCAAAGCTACAGCTTGATCTTCTTAGAGCTTTAAATGAGCATCTCAGCATGTGTGAAAGCACGCTTCATTTTTACTAGTAGAGAGGAGGACATAGAGGCAAAAAACCAAAAGTGAAATGCACTAGCACAAGATACTAGTTTTGATGAAGGAAAAACTTTGAAATATTTTTGGACTGTCTTATTACACAGAATCACAGAATGTTAGAGATTGGAAGGGACCTGGAAAGATCATCTAGTCCAATCCCCCTGCCGGAGCAGGAACACCTAGATCAGATCACACAGGAACGCATCCAGGCGGGCTTTGAATGTCTCCAGAGAAGGAGACTCCACAACCTCTCTGGGCAGCCTGTTCCAGTGCTCTGTCACCCTCACCGTGAAGAAGTTCTTTCTCATATTCAAGTGGAACCTCCTGTGTTCCAGCTTGAACCCATTCTGATGTACATTGACTAATAAGGTGAATTTGACTTTTCAGAACTGTAAATGCAGCAAAGATATTATGTAAATCTCCATAAACATAATTTTATGAAGATTAAAATAACAAAAGATCAAGTCCATTCTCTTTGACAGCAGGCAAATATCTACAGAAAGAAAAAGTGTCTGTGAATGGCCTGCTGAGTGGATTTGCTCTGCAGAGAACGCAAATAGGCTTTTACCTCATCTTTCATGGTTAAAAAAAAAAAAAAGCTCACTTTTGTCTTCTAGTACTGCTACATTCCTATACATACAGTCAGCTGCTCACTCTTAGAGAAAAGCAGGGTTTTGTTGGCACAAACGCCTGGCAGGGCGTCTGGAGTGCTGCTGCTGCCCGCTCGACGTGCCGCCTGCCAGAGCCTTCCCGCAGCGATGGCACAGGGCCGTGGCAGCTCTCGCCTGCCCTCAGCGACATCCTGCTTACTGCTAGGAATGCCTGTGCTGGTGACAATTTATTTGCTTGGTAGGGAAGGGGAAAGAATTTTGTCTGCAGACTTATGTGTAGGGGGAGTGCAGCGCCAAGGGATGATTAGGAACAGCAGCTTACTAGGATTGCAGTAGTATTTGTTTTACCTCTATTAATTTGTTAAGTGCTATCAAATTGCTAATTGCAAACTCTGTATCCCAGGAGAGTTCCACTTTCTTTCATCCTGTTGCCGCTAAGTGAGTGGTACTGAGTCACTTCAGTGCTGTAGCAGTAGTGCCACAGGAGGACAAAGCAGTGCTGTGAAAAGCTGGCTGTATTAGTCATTTTTATTTTTGAAGATTTAGTTTGTTTTTCTTTTAAACTGTCCCTTACAGGTTCCAGTTGATTTGTTGGGTGGTTGTTTTTTTTTTTTTTTGTCTTTTTCTTTTCAAATAATTTCATATAATAATGCGAAAGTAGTATGGAATTGGAAAAGGCGGAGGGAGATCAGTAGGACTGAGAACATAAAAGCTGATGGTGTAGAGGTCTTAGAAGTACCAAAATAATGGTTTGGAAAGTAACTATATCGAGCCTTCCCAGTGTTTATATAATCGCCAGTTTGGGTTGTTAAAGTGTCTTTTTGTCATAGTTTCACACTTCTTGCCTTTTCTCCCACATGCCAGTATTTGCTAGTCATTTAGGCATGTAACGAGTCAGATGAGGTGACCCAGATGAAGACTATTTCTTTCCTTTTTTATTGGGCCAGTTTTTAGTTTGATCAAGTTCCCTAGCATGGCTCATCTGGGTGTTCATGTGAAAACCGTAATGGGCAGTGAAAGAGGAAGGATGGAAGCCAAGGACGAGATGGTGTGGCAAGGGGGAACAGGATCCTTTCAGCAGATGCCTTCATTCATGTTTGACTATAATGGTCGTGCGTTACATTTTTGCCTCTATAAACTGGTTTAGTTGACTGTTGAAATAACAAATCCTTCCCTGAATCTGACCTGATGAGGGCATCTTGTCTCTGGTTTTCTGTCCATGCAGTGGTACAGTTTAGAAAACCAATCCAAGAGAAAAATAATTCTTCCTCCCCATAAGGCACCCTGCTACTGGCTTAATTTTTAGCCTAATCAGTTTTCCATAAATGCCGAAGGGAGATAACTTCTTTTGGCAACAGTGTTGGTTTGTGGGTGGTTGTATGGTGGGTTTTCTGTGTTTTGTTTGTTCTGTTTGCTTTTCAATAATTCAGTGAACTGTGATTATTAGAAGTAAGTGGAGAGGGGCATCCTATGGTGTTTAGGGATTTGGGGAATTTTCACAAAGCAACAGATCTGTGTGACATTGTGTGGTCACCCACTATGGGAAGAAAAAAGCTCAATAGTCACCCCAAAAGTGAAATTTGGTCTATTTCTCTTCGCCATGCAGCTTCATCTGTGTTTTGGGATATAAAAATGCATTTTCTTTTAGCCAGCAATCTTCTAAAAAACACTCGTTTGGTGCACCCTGTGTTTATAACAATGTCAGAGCGTTGCAACATCGCCAGACTAGACTGTTCCTTCTATTTTGAGACCCAAACCAAGAGAGCTTTTTTCAGTCAGTCGAAATGCTTGTGCTTGCAGATGTAGAAAATAAAGCAGAACTGATACATCTGGGGTCTTCAAACACCTTCCAGCTGGTGTTTTATCAGAGGGGAACATGCATGCGTGTACTTAAGAGAGAGGATTACTGTCATCATGTGACCACATCTGAAAGGGACAAAAGAAGGTTTAAAAATGTTGAATGTCTTCTTGCTTCAGATGTCATTCCTGGAAAATGCTCATGTTGATATCTAAATCTTCAGTTTCTGTTGGGTAGTGAGATGTGATGTACACAAAAGACCCTTTGATTTCTTAGTGGAGAAGCTGAGTTGATGCTGTATGGGCTAATGTTGGAAAGGACTGATAATGTCATCATGCGTGTATATAGAATTGCTGTCTTTATAAATTATCCGACCAAAACAGCAGAAAAATTTGGGGTCCTATCAAGCTTCATACTAAGCAAAAAATGAAACACTGCTAACTTGCTTTGTTCTTTGCAGTCAGTGGTTTTAGAGTCATATTTTAAGACCTCAGGGCTGACCCAAGTTGGTGATTTTTTTTTTCTTTCTTTTTTCCTTAATCAGAAAAAGCCACTGTCCTCAATAATAAAAGAAGTCTGCGATGGGTAAGTTCTGCCATGTAGTACTTACTAGATATTATACTTTTTGAATTATTAAACCAACCAGAAGATAATATTTCAGAAGAAAATCTATATATCCTGTATGACCAGTCATAGTAGTAGCTGGTAAGCTGGCCCAGTTGATGGAACTGCTCCCATGAAGCTGAAATGTTAGTCACAAACCCTGCAAGGTGAACTGTAATTGGCTAAGAGAAGTATCTTACTTTAGTTTAAATATGTTAATATGTGAGGGGAAAAAAATGCTGTTTTAAGCAAGTGCTACCACACAGGAGAAACTAGTTTATATTCATCAGATTGCTGCTGAGTTCAAAAGGTGAGATTCTGTGCGTAATGCAATATATCAACTTAATGCTGTATGCATTGGGTATGGTGTAAGCTAGCACAAAATTCTGATACTGTAAATTTTTTTTTGTCAGTTTTAGTGATTAAGTGATCTTGCTTACTGCAAGCAAAAAATACGTTTGCTGTTTTTTATAGATCTGGAATGAATATCAAATCATTATCAGCTTATTTTTGGAGCACTGAAGTGTCACTGTGGCGACAAAATAGTTTCTTTCTCCTCCCCTCTTCTTTCTATCTTTGCTGTGGAGGGAATATATCTGTTATATAATTTCTTTCTTGACCATGGTCAGGTTAAGGACTTTGTTTCAGATGTGCAAAGGGAAAATCTCATTTATAAGGATGTATTTGTACCAAAGTTTTACCATTGTAAGCATGCTTTTATCTTAAAATTTAAAACTCATCATTGAACGCTATGGAAAAGTATGAGAAATACATGGGAATGAGAGGCACGTGTTTGATCATAATAAAGTTATGTATTTTTAGAGTTTTTAAGATTTAATTTTGTGATTAATTTTTTTTCCTGTTTCTAAGGTGGTCTCTTGCCAATCACGATCAATTTGCACTGCAGCATGCTGATAGTTCTAATTTCTACATCACAGAGAAGGTAGGTAAATCATTCCACACAGTTCTTGCATAGCCTCTCAAAGTGTTTGCCAGTTCATTTATACATTATTTTCTGTACTGTGATTCCAGTGAGAGGGCAGGTACTGGGAGAGCTGGTTTAATGAATCTCCTCTGATTTTTTCTGCTTGGAAAGGCAAATAAAGATTTGAATGTGCCATGGCCTTCACATCTGAGTTTGAGACTTCAGCACTGAGCCCTTCAGCTCTGGAATTTGTGCATCTTTAGTATTCCACTGACAAGTGGTGTACAGGAAATTGAAATATGTAAAACATGAAGGGCTCTTTGAAGTCTGAGGGGACCGTCAGCACATGTCACTTCCCTCTTTGTCTGATCAGGTAGAGATAAGTTTCAGTCACTGTGTAA